GTGAACAACTGAAACCATTAAAGTGCTATAATTGGGGAATGAGCTGATAGATTTGTATTTATCAAAAATAGCTCTTCTAGCTTGATGATAAAGAGGAGAATGGTAAGAGTGTAAGATAAATTAGGGCATGATTACAGTAGTAAGATAGGAGGACAAGGGCCTAGAATAAAAGAATGGCTTTGGAGACAGGAGAAGATAAGAATCAGCCAAAATCCTTAACTTAAAACTAACAGAAAGAAATTTTAGCAGATACCACAGAGAGGTCTCAGAAGAAGAACTCAAGAGAGTGTTTGAGATTTGGCCATTAAGAGGTTATCAGTTAAAGAGAACAATTTCGGTAACTAAATAAGAGCAGAGAGAAAATAGAAATGAGAAGAAAATTGATTAGTAGGTAAGAATTTAAAGAGCTTAATGGTCAAGAGAGACCAGAGATGTAAAGTAGAAAAGACTGCAACTTCGAAGTTTCTTCTCTAAGAATATTTTTGAACTAACAGGAGATTCAGAGACCATCCAGAATAACCTTCTCACACTATCATTGAGGAAGCTGAGGGCCAGGAAAGCTGGGAGACTTGACCATGGTCACACACATGGAGTCAGGACTCCATTCTATCTTTATGTTGTACAATCTTTTCCATCCCTCACACTGTGATACAGACCCGCCCTCTCACTTCCTGGTTAAAAAACCTAGTGCCTAGAGAGAATGGCATCCATTTTGTTTCCCAGCATGTTAGGCAGGTTAAATCATGGTTTTTTTGTTTTGTTTTGTTTTGTTTTGTTTTTTGAGAGATTTTTCACTGTAGGGCGCGTGCGCTCCATTTTGGTTCCCAGCATGTTAGGCAGGTTAAATCATGGGTTTTAAAGTAAGGCTGATCCAGGTCCAGTCCACTTTCAAATACTACTGTATGGCCTTCAGTAAACTAACTTTTCACATGCCATTTCTCATCTCATTCATGCATGTAATTGAACAAATATTTATTGACTGTCTGCTAAGGGATAGGACCCGAGTTCGGTACTGTATTCACTAGGAAACCAGGAGCAAGATAGGCACATTTCCCTCACTGTGGAGCCTACAGTGCAGTGGCAGATGCAAAGACCTAAACATGCAAAGAGCACATCGCATGAAAGTGATACTGTAGGGTAAGTGCAGGGTCACTGGGGAACTGCTGGGCTGGAGCTGTTGGATTGGAGGCACAGGGAGTAGTGTGGGTGAAAGCCAAGATGACAGGAAGCATGTGGTGTGTTAGAGAAACTTTAAAAAATCTCAATAAAACAGTACCCTGACTGAGAAAGGTAAGCAGAAAGAAATAAAATGGGAGAGTCAGAGAGCTGAGCAAAAGGCAGATGACAGAGCTTTTGGCAGCCTTAATGAGGAATTTGGACATTGCCCTGAGAGAGGCAGGACAGGGATTGAGGTGGGAAAGGTCTTACCTAAGACATAGTCTTGGGATTCAACAGGCAGATGCCATAGGTAGTTCTTTCTCACCTCCTACCTTTAGAAGGGGAGCCTATAGTAATGGTCTCACATGTTGTGATGGTTAAATATGATTTTATCCTTTTTTGATATCTTTATATAGAACATGCCCTTTTTGTCCTTATTATCTCTGTCTTACAGGAACATATCATAGGTGTTTGGCCCACAGTATCTTCCTAATAAAGGCAGTTTTTATCTCTTACCTCCTAGCTTCTCAAAGGTTAGCCCTGAAATGTTCTGCTCTTCTAAGAAAACAAAACAAAACAAAATAAACAAAAACCACTTTGCTTATGAAAGATTAAAGTATGTATCTGGTAAAGAATAGTTGTTAAAAAAATATTTCTATCATCATGACTGATTTCTCACAGCATTGGTTCTTCCAGAATTTGGACACCCTGCCAATTAGAGTTTGTAATGTGTTAGCTTTCCACTGCAATGACAGCATTTAAAGAACTCCCACAGCAATAGTCATTAAAACTGTATGTTTGGATTAGGATAGACTAGTCCTAAATAGGGAACCAGCAGATAGTGTAATTGTTATGTTGCTGGATTCCCACATAGTCGACCGTGGTTCAAGTCCTAAACCCAGCTACTTAAAACTCACAGCAGGCACATGTGCATGCATGC